ATTCAGAATAGGTCCGTTTTTAGGCACTGGGTTCAACAGGGCGACAATGAAACATCTGATATCGATATTCAACTCACTTGCCAGAGGGAAGAAGACTCTCGACTACTCCGATTTTGAAAACGGTTTCGCCCTTGTTAACTACTTCATCAATTATGAGGAGTATTCAAGTAATATATACGTTTATACTAGTCGTAGAAATATTAAAGGAATTTTTGATAGTTGTTATATGAAAAACAACACTAGTGAAAAATATATATCACGAGTCGTGATTCACGACTACTGCATATCACCGCGAATGTTTGGGGTTTTTACCGACTTGATGCGAAACGGGTCGTGAAACTCCATTGGTGGTATCTATGTAGGTTTGTATGAAGCCTCTGGTGGTCATCCCCCAAAGAGAGTTCCCTTATCTAAGGACACTTACCTAAGTGCATTTACAGCATTTGATAGGGATAGGTACTAGTACTAATAGTAGTAGTAGTAGTAGTAGTAGTAGTAGTAGTAGTAGTAGTAGTAGTAGTAGTAGTAGTAGTAGTAGTAGTAGTAGGAAGTGTGATACGCGCAGTATTCGAGAGTATGTACGTGGTCAACTAAATGTGTTGAAAATTCCGAGGAAATTCAGGAGAATTCTTTCTGGTTTCTGTACACTCTTACCCGAATTCGTCTGTAAACTTTCATAGTAAATGAGAAAACTCCCGAGCTGAGCTGAGGAGAGCAAACATATACTCCACCGTAGCATCCAACGACACTGTAATACGGCAAAACAATGGGAGTTGAGACAATTGTTGTTATGTGTTGGTCATTGCTGCCTATTATATCGGTAGTAATTATTGTAATTTTAGGGCTTTTCAGGAGGATTAGCTCTTTTTGCACACTGTGTAGTAGTAGCCGTTGAAATGATGTATATTTCGATCGCCATTGGGTTCTCTTGCGGTGATTATTTTTTGTTGTTATTTAGTTGTATTAGTTTATTAGTAGTAGTATAATACAGTGCGAATCAAACAGTTATGTAGATTTTTTCGAGATGGTTAAGTTCTTCAATTTGAGACTAGTACGACTATAGACTACGTAACGCTTCTAAAACGTTGGTGTCAATCGATTCACATTGTTATCATGTTGATATTACTCAAAGTTGACTTTCGAACTCCCAAAAACTGAAGGCTAAGTTGAAAACACTATTTTCCATAACGGTTAGTATTACTACCTTGAGAAAGAGTTCTAAAATTGCTGATTATTAAACCGTAGTCGAAGAGTAGATAACTAGAATGGTTTGGTTGATCACACTGTATGAGTTTATGAGTGAACTTTTAACTGTTCAGGTCTGGAAATATCGACATTGTTGAATTCATACAAGGCATTGCATGGCTGACTCGATCGCAAGCTAATCTGAATACCCTAGATGCTGCTGGTGATGGCGTACCGCAACTACCTAAGAGCCACTTGGTTCGCGATGGGAGGAATGTCAACCTGGCGTGGTAGTAATTACGGAGGAGATTTCCTTATAGTTAACGTGAAGTGGTGAAATACTCGTTGTTAACGTATTTGTGTCCACAAACACCGATAACGCGAATGTTAAACGTGGAGTATATTTTTCATTAGTGTTTTTCATATCACTAGGGTGGTGAAACTCCAATATTACTGTTGATTTGATAGCGTGAGGTTTGGGAGCTCATGAAAGCTAACTACTTGGGGAATACCCTGTCGTCGTTTATGGGAGTTTTACATTATCTTTTTGAGGATATTTACGAAGTGTGTATATATAGTTTTCATGTTGGGAAAATTTACACGTGGTCAACTATGCGTGTTGGTTAAAGTGAGGAAATATTGGTTTTCATATATTTTTTTCCTGAGTTTTGTGTTTATTTTTATGTAATTGAGAAACTGGTATGCAAACATTTTTCCTAACAGTAATCATCCAGGAACCTATAGTGTCACTGGGGGAAACTAATTTTGAATTTTCCGCGTGTTTAGGAAAACATTCTCCAACAAGTTTCCCATGTAAATGTCATCACATTATGAACATTATTTTTCTCTCCTAGGAAACGTAATTTTCAAAGCCGCTGATACTATCATTGTTTTCTATGAATTCTTGTTGAGACTTTTGTATTTTGTAATGTCGTTGTATTAACCTCTGATATGAATAGGTGGCGACTGTGTTTTAGGAGTTCGCGACCACAGGTTGTATTGGTGACGAAGAAATGGGGGAGTAATCGTGCGAAGGAGGCGCTGTTGGAGGTTGGAAGATGGCTGAAAACTGCCTACAACTTGCGAGTTTTGATGGACCCTAATGATCCGGATGGTAGTATGGGATTTGGGATCGATGTATGATGAGTCGTGATGAGAATTTATTTTTTTTCTCGAATGGTGAGCAGTGGAATTTAATGGTAATCGAGAAAATATATGAAATTATCTAGTGCAAGAACGGTGAAAATTGGGGGAAATTTGGTCGAAATCAAGAAAATATATAGACTATTCTGTGGGAAAATGGAAGAAGTTGAGCGAAAAATAGTGGGAATAATGAACATATGGGTAAAGTGGTAGATGATATGAGATTATGTAGTGGAAAAATAATGGTGAACAGGTCTAAGAAATAAGAGAATATATTGTGCGAAAAGGTATAAAATTAGCGAACATGTGGGAATACTTAACGGAATATCAAAGACTAATATAGATATAATATAGATATGAAAGACTATAATATTCGGTGTGAAAAAGTGAAAAATGAGGACAGTCATGATAATGGAGTTTCACCATCCCAGTGATATGAAAAACACTAGTGAAAAGCATATTTCACGACTACTGCATATCACCGCGAATATCGCGTTTTTCACCGAGTTTTACGCCACTTCACGTAAAACGGGTCGTGAAACTCCAATATGTAGTAGAAAATTGTGAAAAGAAGGAAAATTGGAGAATATTTTGTGTTAAAAATGTGAAATAAAAGGGAAATTATGGGGAAAAATAATGGGAAATGAA